AAAATAAAAAGGCTAAACCCCAAATTTGATCACTCAACTATTGTACAGATCCTGATTTAATCTTAAACTAAAAAAATCCAACTATTGTACAAACCCCGATTTAGTTCTGCAACTATTATATGGATCATTGATTTGGTTTATGCTGTTTACCAATTTGACTACAACTTTGGTCCTTTTATTAAAAAATAGTTTACTGTCTATTATTTAATGGTAAAAAATCATTACTTAACTACCACGTGTTACATTAATAATAAAACACGTCATTTGCTTTTGTACAAAAGGACCAATTTAAAGTCAAATTTATAAACAGTAAGAATCAAATGAGAGATTTTTTTAATTAAAGAACCAAATTGAGGGTCCGTATAATAGTTGAGAAACCAAATTAAAGATTTAACCAAACAAAAAGAGGAAGAATAGATACTAGGAATAGTATTAATGCACTTTCTTTTGACGTGAATAATAACTTTCTTTTGACATGAATAATAATCAACAAGATTGAATTAACTTATATTTACTTAATACTTTAGGGAATAATTAGACTAGTACAAAAAAACATAAAAAAATATTGATAAAATTCTAAAAATAAAAATTATCAATGAAAAACACTTGAGTATATACATTCCCTTTGACGAAGGGGTCTACTTCTTTGGAGAGGAAATTATTTGATTGCAATCTCAATTCTTTTTATGAGGTTGTGTGAGATCTAAAATTAAACTCTCCAATTTTTTGTACTTTTTTTTTTTTTTTGCATTCTAATAAAAATTAAAATTTATTTACACAAAATTTTAATTATTCATCTTTTCATTTTCAATACTTAAAATTTATTTACTTTTTATCATATTTATTAAAAATAATTATCATTTTTATCTAAAAAGTAATAATAAATCTTAACCATTAAAATTAAAGAAATAAATAATTAAGATTTTATATAAATGTAGTGTGTAATATATTAAATTAATTGTAATAATTAACAACAAAGGACCCCTTAGGTAATCTAACATGTTTGATCATATTGTTTAAAATAAACTAACCAATCTATAAAAACAACCAAATATAAAATTTCTTGTGTTTAATTTCCAAGAAATACCAAGATAATTAACCAAAATTATAGAACTCCATTCAAATTTGAAACATTGATTAAAAAATAGAGTAACAAAAAAAATTCAAAGAAAATTAGGCCTTTTTTTCTGGAAAGAAAAAAAGAAGGAAAAATCATACATAAAAAAATTAACAAAAAAAAGGGCAAAACAATGGTTGGGCATTTTTCTCCAAGGTCTTTTTTTTTTTTTTTCAACCGGTAATGTTAAGATCTCTGCACAACCATGTCTTTTACTAGGTCTGACACTAACTAAGATTTTAAGGAGTTTTGTAAAGTTCTTGTTCGATAGGATTTTGACATTGAATGTTATAGTATATAATCCCTTGATTTGTTTTTAATAGATTTAATTTAATTTTTTAATTTTTTAAATAAAAATTTTAAATAAAAATCTAAACTTAGTGTATATTAGCTTTAACTTTCTAAAAAAATTAAAATTTCAACATATATTTAAAAACTAAAATTTTAATTAAAAATTTAATAA